ATGCACGACTCTTGCGAGCTCGACGAGAGGAGATTTGCTGCATCTCCGAAGTACAACAAAACAAAATATTCAAATGTGGCGCTATGGACGGCAGCGGAAGTGAGCAAGAGGGTCGGAGTTCAGGGAGCGGATGTAGTGTGTCCCAATAGCATACATACTGCATGCATACTGCATACTACACTACATACTTTTTAAGGGCAGCTGCAGTACATACTATAAGTATATAGTAGAAGTATGCGATTTGGAACGCAGTCCGTGAGAGCGAGGCGGCCGCAGTTTGTAGAGCCAGGCGCTACAGTTGCTCTCCACCGACTGCACCGCCTGGCTCTCACCTGATCTGACAGCTGATTGGTTCAGATGTCGACTCAACAATATGACGTTTTAGATAAACTACTCATTTTTGTTGAATTTTAGAGATTAAGATTGTATTTGTCTGATCTGAAGGTTTATTCTGTGAACAGAAAACATGTTGTGTGACTGATGGTGAAAACAAACTGATATATGGGCCTGATCACTTTTTTAATGAATTGACATCATTCCAGACAGGATGTGAGTGTGTCTGTTACTTCCTGTATGGACTGAAGGCTGCTGGAAACTGTCGGGAAACTGTCCGACTTCACCGCAGCTTTTTTGTCACCGCTCCCCGCTGCGGCCGCCTGCTCCCGTCTACTTTCCAGGCGAGGCGCAGTTCATCTCGAACAGGCCTAGTGAGAGTAACGTCGAGCTGCTTTAATGCTGAACCACATTATTATTGATCAAGCGTCTGCACATCCGACAACACAAGACACAGAGCTTCTGCTCGAACTACTTCCTGTTACCAACCTTTCAAACTGATGCAGTGTATTGAATACCACCACAAAAGTCGTGGACATTGAGGCACAATTTATTCTGTTGCGTAAGGACATGGCAATTACACCCCGTTTGGATGTCATATCGTTGTCGGAGGAGTGTCTATATGAAAGATAGAATTTCACCTCTCACTCTATCATTTATCTTAAAGGGATAGTGCACCCAAAAATGAAAATTCATTTTTGGGTGCACTATCCCTTTAACAATCTGTTCCACCCAGACATATCCAATATTACACAATGTGGTTTTACATTTTCATCAGAGCAAATTTTATGCAGTGCCCTTTGATTCTTTGGCAGCGTCAGTTTTCCTCATAACATCAGAGACACTGAACTTATCAGCAAGGCAACGTTTTTTTCGGGCCGTAAGAAAAGTGACTCTGACTCTGAAAATAATTTTGCCTGTTTTTGTGGTTTTCCCTGGGCATAAATCAGAAAGAATCATCAAAGAGGAATCCCACAGAACTGCAGGTTTATTGCAGTTTAATTAAAAATTAATCTACGTGGATACATTATGCAATGCTTTATGAATACTATTCATATATTCAAAGATTCCACGGTGTAACTGGCTCATTTATGGGACTCAACATCCCATAATAGCTCCATCAGAGAATAAAGGACATTACGTGAATCAGAAGTCATTTCACAGCGATTCAATTAACCTCAGCCTAATATTGACAAAATGACTTAAGTATAAGCAAAATATTTACCAGTCTGTACAAAATTTTTGTGTTTGATTTTGAGTTTGTGCCCAGTGTGTTTGGGCCCCATCAGATTACAGCTGCATAAGAGGATACAGCAAATTATATTGAAATATATGAACACTGTTAAGATATAAAAATGTTTATATATTTTCTGTATATTAGACACATTAATGCATCACATTACATAACGTCACTTATCTATGAACATGCTCTGCCGTCCTTTCCCATCCCACCTCACGCTGTTAAGCTGCAGCATGAAGGTTTTTTTTCCTTGTTTGAAGATATGTTTGAAGTCTTCATTCACAGACGTAAAATCTACGATTCAGTTGGCACGAAATAAGTGGTTGTGCTTTTAACTCTGTTTTCTGTCACTGAAAATCATGTTATCTCCACTCCACTGATGATGTCTTTTGGTGCTCGCTGTGAACATGCTTCCAGTCTCAGTCTGAACATACTCAGAGTTGATCAAGCTAATTCCGATCAGCTGTTCTGGAACCGAAAACTCAGTTTCTCAGCTCAGGCTCAATCAACTCAGAGATCGGAATTAGGCTGAGAGTTTGTTGAGTCTGCTTTGTGAAAAAGGGCCCCGGTGTTGTTCGCTTCTCCGATGTTGTTCCCTTCTCTGGTGCTGTTCGCTGTTATTCCCCCCAGCTTTCATGCATTGGTTGTTTTTTTCTTGTTTGGATATTTAATACAGACAAAGATGCTCTGTAACAATCTAGTGGGATTTCTAAATTCATGTGGGGCACAGGTAACATGTTTGCTTCCTGTGATTAGGATCCAATATGTTTGATTTCCACACATGTATTCTGTGTTTATCTGTGTTTATTTACCTTATTTTGAAATGGGGACAAAACTTGTGTGATGATTTTCCTTAATCTGGCATTTCTTTTGACCTTTCTTCAGTGAATTGATGTGAAAGTGTTGTCTTAGTCATTGAGAGAGACAACCATCAGATACAGGTTAATCTCTATTGTTAAGCTCTCTTGTGGCCAAATCCTGCAATTGCATTTGTGGAAAGACATACAAACACAGAATTGTAATGTTCAGACATTGTGCCTCTTTAGAAGGATCACATATTCGGCCCCTTAAAATCACAGCTAGGTAAATCAATCAATATTTATGAAGCCCAATATCACAAATCACAATTTGCCTCAGAGGACTTTACAGCATATGAAATCCCTGTGTCCTTGGACCCTCACAGCGGATAAGGAAAAACTCTCAGGCAGTCACACATTTCCTCCAAAACTTGACAATATTCAACATGAAATTTCTCATGAATTCAATATTTTTTAGACATCAGTAACAGCAGCTGGTTGTGATGATGCATCTTTCATTTTTCGAATGCAAAATTTACAGATAAAATAGAACTTCATTTTGAGCCGGAGAGCTTTCTGCAGTATCTTAGTGGTATGAGCACAGCTTTAGTTGAAACAGAATGGATGCGCGATTACACGTTTCAACAATTAAATGTCTGCCCCCTTGCTAGTTGGCACCAGAAATATTAGTGGGTAAACCAATTAGTGTTTTATTCATGTAGAAGGCCTCTTAAATGTCATGCAGCCTCCCACCACTAGTGGGTGCTACAGACTCTTCAGACAGCAGTTCCCCTCCCCGGGTAATGCTCGAGCAGACTGGAGTTATAAAACTGCATGGTGGGAAATAAGGGCAATGTCCTCGCCAAATTAGCACAGTTTGGCAGTACTTTGATTTAGAAAATGAATTCAGCAGCAATTAATTTTTTTTGAGTAGTAAGTTGTTGTCAGATAGTGTGCAGGTTTACATTCATATTGCACGGAGCAAAATGCCTCTCATTTCAGCTGAAATTTAATGATAATTTCAGTCATGTTTTATTAACTTTAAAGTGCAGGGCTTGACGCTAACTTTTTTCCCAAGGAGCACATGTGCTCCTAAGTTGAAAAAGTAAGGAGCACACAAAGAACTTCAGGGGCACAAAGTTAATTTTGGGGGGGGGGTTAGTTGCCCAGACAAGTCCCTTCATAAGTAACGAACAGTCCCTAAAGTTTCTCCTCTGATACACCACAAACTGTGTGCCGTCATAGCTCAGCTGTTCTGGTACTTTTGGGCTTCTTTGCCGGTAAGCCGTTATAATGCGCCGCCGTATTTGACAGGAATACGTATTCCTGTCCATGTCTGTGACTCCCGTTCAACCCACAACCGGCGGGATTCGCCGTTACTGTTTATTGCCACACTGCCGACATTTTACTCTGTCCGCCACTGCACGCTGTTTGATTGCGTTATCAAAACACGCCGCTATTATTTGGCCTTGCTTTTCACTTATTCCACCGAATACCGAATGTGTTGTGTTTTTGTTTTTTTGTTTTTTTCAATATTCGGCCGAATATATTCGGTGCATCCCTAAATAGGAGCCTTCCCCCACTCCCTACTCCCCTCACCGCTGCTCTCCTCACTATACTGGCTGCTGCACTGTGCAAGTGCACAGATGTCTCAGAGTGGTGGTGCGTTTGCAAAAATGTTTTGAAGGAGCGGCGGCAGCAATAATTTAGCAGCGGCGACACGCCGCTGCTAAATTAATGTAGCGGAAACACTGGACTTATATTCATTGTGCCGACAGTGGCTTGGAAAACCGCCCATAACCGTGTCACACAGGGGAGAGGGAAGGCGGCTGGAGTTCCTCCAACATCTGCGGTTAGATTATTATATTTTTTAATTGACAAAAATATAGGCTGCTTCGGCTGATTTTTTTTTTTATGCGCACGTGCCCCTAAATATTTTTTACAGTTCGCACACACCTATTTTTAGTCGCAAATGTGAGTGAAACGCTCGCACTGTCGAGCCCTGAACTGAATTGCTATCATTTCTGTCATTTCTGTTCTGTGCCCCACATTTCAGAGGCAGTTTATTTATTTTTTATTTTAGTGGTTAACTTTTGACTGAGTTGCCGTTATGTTCACGTTCATAGCGCACGCCGCAAAGTATCTCGTACTTCAGCGGCATTTAAAATCCGCCATGGTTGTTGAAGATTGTGATTAAAGGCTTCAAAGGGCTCTTGATGCACACAATATTTTTGGGACAGTGTTTCAAATACTTAACAATAAATTGTGCTAAATTTTGGCTGTTTTCTGAGTGTTTTCCCTTTTTCAGACTAGTTGACTAGTCCTCGTTAAAATTTTCGTTAAGTGGACAGGAACATCCCGACCATTCGCCGTTTGGGCGAGGTTGTGGTTAGGGGGAAACAGATTTTGATGGGCATACTCATTGACACACCACCAGCATTTTATTTACTCAGGCTGCCAGTAATCAAACTTGATTTGCGGCAAACTCTTGCATCCCATGGACAATCATTCTCACATAATTCACTTTATCCTGAGCAAATAAAGAGCCACACTGTAGCCTCCAGACATGACAAGAGTAACAGTCCATGTTAATGACTGGTGTGTGTTTGTGTGTGTACTGTTTCCTTCAGACGTCCAGCAGCTGTTGGTGGTTAAAGAAGAGGTTCCCCCTGAGCAGCAGGAGTGGAGCTCCAGTGTGGACCAGGAGGACCCAGAGCCTCCACACATTAAAGAGGAACAGGAGGAACTCTGGATCAGTCAGGAGGAAGAGCAGCTTCAAGGGCTGGAGGAGGTTGATATCACCAAATTCATATCCACCCCTGTCCCTGTGAAGAGTGAAGATGATGAAGAGAAACCTCAGTCCTCACAGCTTCATCAAAGACACACTGAACAGATGGAAACAGAAGCAGAGGGAGAGGACTGTGGAGGAGCAGAACCAGCCAGGAACTCAGATCCAGATACACATTTACAACCTGAGACTGATGACAGTAATGACTGGAAGGAGACCAGAGAACCTCAGTCAGGTTTAAACTGTCTGAAAAATGATGAAGTCCCTGTGAGTGATTTGATTGTTTGCGAGAAACCATTTAGCTGCTCTGAGTGTGGGAAAAGATTCAGTCAGAAGGGACATCTGAGGATTCACATTATGTGTCATACAGGAGAGAAACCATTTAAGTGCTCTGAGTGTGGGAAAAGATTTCGTGAGAAGGGACATCTGAGGATTCACATGAGATCTCATACTGGCGAGAAACCATTTAGTTGCTCTGAGTGTGGGAAAAGATTTGGTCGCAGTGGAAATCTGAGCAGACACATGAGATTGCATACAGGAGAGAAACCATTTAGTTGCTCTGAGTGTGGGAAAACATTTTGCCGAAATCATGATCTGAAGGCACACACTATATCTCATACAGGTGAAAAACCCTATAGCTGCTCTGAGTGCGGGAAAAGATTTGGTCACAGCAGTGATATGAAGAGACACATGAGATCTCATACAGGGGAGAAACCATTTAGCTGCTCCGAGTGTGGGGAAAGATTTCATCTAAGGGCACATCTCATGAAACACATGAGATCTCATATAGGGTGGAAACCATTTAGTTGCTCTGAGTGTGGGAAAAGATTTCGTCGGAGGGAACAACTGACGAGACACATGAGATCTCATACTGGAGAGAAACCATTTAGTTGCTCTGAGTGTGGGAGAAGATTTGGTCGCAGTGGAAATCTGAAGCTACACATGAGATTGCATACAGGAGAGAAACCATTTAGTTGCTCTGAGTGTGGGAAAAAATTTTGCCGAAATCATGATCTGAAGGTACACATGAGATCTCATACAGGTGAAAAACCATATAGCTGCTCTGAGTGCAGGAAAAGATTTGGTAACAGCAGTGATATGAAGAAACACATGAGATCTCATACAGGTGAAAAACCATATAGCTGCTCTGAGTGCAGGAAAAGATTTGGTAACAGCAGTGATATGAAGAAACACATGAGAACTCATACAGGTGAAAAACCATATAGCTGCTCTGAGTGTGGGAAAAGATTTGGTCACAGCTGTGATATGAAAAAACACATGAGATCTCATACAGGGGAGACACCATTTAGCTGCTCCGAGTGTGGCGAAAGATTTCGTCAGAGGGCACATCTGACGAAACACATGAGATCTCATATGGGGTAGAAATCATTTAGTTGCTCTGAGTGTGGGGAAAGATTTCGTTGGAGGGGACATCTGACGAGACACGAGATCTCATGTAGGGTAGAAACCATTTAGAGAGGAACAGGACGAACTCTGGATCAGTCAGGAGGGAGAGCAGCTTCAAGGGCTGGAGGAGGATGATATCACCAAGTTCACATCCACTCCTGTCCCTGTGAAGAGTGAAGATGATGAAGAGAAACTTCAGTCCTCACAGCTTCATCAAAGACATACTGAACAGATGGAAACAGAAGCAGAGGGAGAGGACTGTGGAGGACCAGAACCAGCCAGGAACTCAGATCCAGATACACATTTACAACATGAAACTGATGAGAGTGATGACTGGAAGGAGACCGGAGAACCTCAGTCAGGTTTAAATTATCTGAAAAGTGTCTGTGAGTAATTTGATTGTCTGTGAGAAATGATTTAGTTGCTCTGAGTGTGGGAAAAGATTCGGTCGCAATGGAGATCTGAACAAACTTGAGATCGCATACAGGAGAGAAACCATTTTGTTGCTCTGAGCGTGGGCAAACGTGGTTACAGTAGTGTTATAAAGAAACACATAAGATCTCATACAGGAGAGAAATCATTTAGCTGTTCAATTTGTAGAAAATCGTTTACACTGTGTATATTTACATGCATACATGAGGAGAACTCATGATGGGGAAAACTGATTCAGCTGTTCGGTTTGGAAACTAAATCTTTTATTTGGAAAAAGACTGTAAAAAACAACCGTGAGAACTCGTACAGGACAAACACTTTTCAGCTTCAATGTCTGTATGAAATCTTTTACACAAACTGGACAGTTACACAAATACATTAAATCCCACACAACAGAGAAACCTTTCAGCTGCAGTGTTTGTCACTAAAGATTCACTTGACCTTAACAACTCAGATGCTATCAATGTTTTGTTTGTTAGTCTGCACAGCCTCATCAAACTCAAACTGAGGAGAGCAGAGAGGCAGACACTCAATACTAACCAAAAACAATTAAGTTACTCAGTGTGGGGTAAAAAGATTTGTCTGTCAGAGATGCTCAGTTTTTTCAGTCCACAGCTCCTCTGCATAGTCTCTGCCATCTTTCCTTTTCTCATCTTATGTGCAGCAGCACTGTGCAGTCAAGGGCTGGGCCGTGGGCTGATGCGGACAGGCACATCAGAGGGGACGCCGCTGGGCGACTTTCATGACTCAGCCTTCATTTGGAATTGTGTTATCAGCTTTACACTCCCAGTTTGGAGAACTGGCATGGTTAGGTCGCTTCCCAAAGTCACACAACAACACAAACTAACTGTCCAATTGAAGGGCAGCTGAAGAACAGTGACTCATTGTGTTCTGTGAAGTAAAATTACTGATTCTGTCAGTGGAGTCTGGTTGTTTTTAGGAGAGCATCATGTAACTGCATCAGTTTACCATTGTAAGAGACTGTCTGACAGCAAGGTGAGGTGTTGAAAATACTCTTAACAAAGTGTTCTTTTACATTGGTGATCCTTTTCTTTCATGTGGTGAAGATAGGTTTGCTGCTGCCCCCGTCCAGTCACCAGACTCCTTTGATAGAAACAGCAATTTTTTTTCTCCCTGGCTCTCATGCCATTTTTGGTCTCCTCTGTGTCCCCTCTCTAACTTCAGAGGATTTTACGGGTTCAGGAACGCAGCGCAGGCGGAAGTCTTCATGAGGTGTTTTTTTTTTTTTTT